AGATGGGAAGCACAGTTACTGAGATTTAGGGAGGTTCCTTTATCAAAATGCAGTGAAGATCAAATATTACAAAATTATGAAATAGCACAAGGGGAAAACGATAAATGGTCTAATTGTCATGTAGGATTAAAAAAAAGAGAACATTTCTTATCTCGTGAAAGGCTTCTACTGACTGTAAAAACTGCTCCAGAGGTAGTCAATACAGGATTAAGACCCATGTTTTCTCAAATGCAGTATTTAATTTTAAAGAAGACAGGAAAAATAAAAAACCCTAGATTTTGAAATACCATCTCTGTCTTTTTTGTACAAACTTGCTGTTTTGATTGAATTTTAGAGGTATCATAAGAAGAGCTCAGAGCTTGGCCCACATCCAGATGTTAATGTTTAGTCTTCCAAATTCATTTTTTAAATCTGGTAATAACCCAGTTTCATTTCTTAGATTTGTTGCTTCTGGTTCCATATTTGGAATATGGAAAGACTCAATCAAATCAAGGAAATGCCAATCTTCAAGCATGCTTGGCTTTTAAATTAGCACTCATAGTGAGGAATCTGCCTAACTGTAGAATAAGGACTAGTTCCAGAAACAACTGAACAGCTAAAAGAGTAGGTTTGAGTTTGGTGATATAGCTGTTCGTTTCTTTTCCACCTGGGAAATAACTGTAATATTTTTAAATATCTATCTAAATCTGTAGAAAAATCTGAACTGTTTGTAAAAATACCTTTAGAGGAATTTCAAAGAATTTCATATACTCATTTTTTTAATGTTGATACATGTTTCTTTAATGAAACTTCGACTTCTCTTTGTGCTGCCAGGATTTGAGAAAACCAATTCAATCTGTGATGCAAGCCCTTGATCCTGCAAGTATTTAAGCTGCTGAGGAATGTTACTCTTTTGAACAGTCTCATTAAGCACTTTGTACCATGTTTACAATGTATTTCAAACATGGTTAAACCACAGCTTTAGGACTTGTTCATGTACTGGTGACTCATGACATGAGTCCTTAATGCATTTCTAAAACAGAACTGTCTCATTACCATAGTACAGCCAAAAACTGTGATAAGGACTGGTATCCCTCAAGTGATGGTAAATGTCATTCTCCCACTGAAATTCTACACCTGTACCTCACGTTCTGCAGAAAGACAGAGATTCACTAAAGGATTTGCCTTCAAAAAAAAAAAAAAAAAAAAAAAAAAAAAAAAAAAACCAAACCAAACCCCAAAACAAAAACAAAAACCAAACAGAAATGAGACCACAAATTTCCCCTTTCTCCCCCCTTAAATAAAACTGGAGGGAGCATGTTAATAATTACAATTTAATTTAAAATGTCCCCTGAGCTTACAGCGAGTGGAACCTAAACTGTGACTCTGCAGCACATAAACATCCTGCTGAGAAGAGGGAGAACAGCTTGCTGGCTGGCCTCTATTTGCTGAATTTATCTACTCTATTTACTTTACTTATTCCAAAGGAAACCAGTAGCAACTCTGTAGAAACCAGTGACCTGTGCTTTGGCGTGAGAGAGAAAAGAATCTGGCCAGTTGGACCAAGTTGCTTCCTGCCACTTCACTATCAGTCTCTGAGGGTAAAAGCTGCCTCTACCCACAACAACTCTCTCAGCTCAGATTTTATAGGCTCTGTATCAGGATCAGGGAAAAGAGGGAGAAGGCAGTTGAAAAAGGCTGCTTTGAAGGGAAGTCTCTGATAGTCTTTAAAATAATCACAGAATTTGGGGATAGGTATTGAAAACTGAAGGTCATCTGTAGAGTTTATTTTTCTTATATTTTATCTTGGAGACCTTGAACCTGAGACCTCACCATAATTTTGCACTATTTTTACACATTGCTGATTCATAACACCATACAGATTATTAACTTTAGGTAATTACTGCAATATTCATTTGCCCAATAGTTTGTTCTTATTGGACAATATTATGCTTCTATCTCTAGAAACATTCCCAATGAAGACTTTTAATTCTGAGGATATTTAAAGAGAGGAAGTTTGGAGATCCACCATGGACCGCAAGGCTGAGGAGAAGAGAAAGCAGCGCCATAGCTTGACTTTATTGGAGCAAGTAAAGAGAATGAAGGAATCCACAGAGATAACCGATGTGGTGCTGGTTGCAGAAGGCGAGAAATTCCCCTGCCATAAGGTGGTGCTGGCTGCCTTCAGCGCCTATTTCAGAGCCATGTTCACGTGTGGCCTGGCGGAGTGCACGCAGAGGGAAGTGGTGCTGCACGACGTCTCTGCCGAGAGCGTGTCCGTGATCCTGCACTACGTGTACAGCGCCGAGCTGCGCCTCACCAGCCTCAACGTGCAGACTGTCGCCCTCGCTGCCTACTTCATGCAGATGGAAGAGGTTTGCAATATGTGTCAGAAGTACATGATGGACCATATGGATGCTTCCAACTGTGTGGGCATCTATTACTTTGCAAACCACATCGGGGCAGATGATTTATGCGACCAAGCGAGGAAATACATGTATCAGCATTTTGCTGAGGTGAGCTTGCAGGAAGAAATACTAGAGGTTGAGTTCCAGCAGCTGCTGACTCTCATCAAATCAGATGATCTGAATATTTCCAGGGAGGAGAGCATTCTGGACCTCGTCATTAGATGGGTGAAGCACAGCAGAGCATCACGTTCAGAACACCTTGTTGAGCTCCTCAAGCAAGTGAGACTGGTGCTTGTCAGCCCCTCTTTTCTTGTGGAAGCCCGGAAGAGGAACACAATTATTCTGTGCAATTCAGAATGCAATGATCTGTTTGAGGAAGCACTGAAAACCATCCAGCTGTCCAGGCACCCTTCCCTCAGCCTGCGATATGGCATGGAGACTACGGACCTGCTGCTCTGCATCGGCAACAACTCCCTTGGCATCAGGTCTAGGCACGGCAGCTATGCAGATGCCAGCTTTTGTTACGCTCCTGCAACACGAAAAACTTACTTCATTTCCTCCCCAAAGTATGGAGAGGGCTTGGGATGTGTTTGCACTGGTGTTGTCACTGAGAAAAATGATATCATTGTGGCAGGCGAGGCAAGCGCCGTCAAAATGTCTAGAGAAAGGACCAGGAACATTGAAATTTATAGGTGTGTACCCTCTGTCAGAAATCCCCTAATTATTTAAAAATTTTAAGTAATGTCCCTGGGGACAAAAAAGAAAAAGCATTTTTTACTTGATTTCTTTTTTCTTAGAGATTTTGACTACTTTGATTAATTTGTCACAACTTATTTTCACAGGTCTGAATTATATACATACAACCAAATTCTTCTGAAGGAATGAGGAGTTACTCTTGTGGTACCTCTGAGTAAATGAGCTCCATTAGATCAATGCCTGTAGATTTTATATTCTCTCTATCCAAATCTCAGTATTTTCCTTGGATATTTCTTTTCTAGGTCATTAGCAGGGGGAAATGAGCCAAGAGATGATCCAATGAGCCCAGTAACACAGAAAAAACATATTACTCTGTTGATGTTGGTGATAATGCTTCATAGATTAAATATAATGATTGATAGCTCAAAAACCTCATTCTGTTTTTACTCACATCCTTTTCAGATGTACACATTTTAAAGAAAGCCAGACATTTCCTGGATTAAAGATCAAATTTTGAAGTGGTGACAGCATTTTCAAATGCAAATGCGTAAATTTGAGGAAATAAATTCATAGTGAGGCAGGTGAAGTGGCTTTCTTTTCAGCAGTGTTGAATTCTCACTGCTTCCACTAATTTCAGCAGAAACTGATTGAGCAGCACATGCAGAAATAAGTGCCTTTTTACCTTAATTCGGGTAAAATATCTTTGAAAGGATACCTAGGATTTCTCATACTAAACATGCTTGATCTTGCAAACATTGGGCTCGATTTTATAACTTCTCTGTGAAGGAGAGAGCTCATCTTGTCATTGTACTGAGTAAAGGCTGACAGCTAAAGGGGGTAACATTTCCAGAGAGGCTGATGGGAGCTGGGTGAACCAGGGCATTTACAGCTGTGGGTTTTCCTACAGATACCACCAGCGAGGAAACCACTTTTGGCACAGTCTGTGCACCACCCAGCTCCGTGAGCTCTACGCACTGGGCACTGCCCACAACGACCTCTATGTAATAGGAGGGCAAATGAAAGTGAAAAACCAGTATCAGGTCACAAACTGTGTGGAGAAGTATTCCATGGAGCAAGGCACCTGGAGGAGCACGGCACCCCTGCCAGTGCCGCTGGCCTGCCACGCGGTGGTGACAGTGAAGGACAAGCTGTACGTGCTGGGTGGATGGACACCACAGGTTGAGAATTGTGCCCATTTACTGTGTTTGCTTTGTGCACTAACACGAACTGTTGTGTAATTTTACAGTGCTTCTTGCATGGGAAAATACGTCGGTGATAACACAAGATTAAGTTGCTCACATTCCTCTGATTAGGCATATTCTGTAGGAAAACCAAACAGGGTGAAGAAGAATAATATCCATCTATGCCATCCTCACTGTAAATACCAACTTCAGGAAGGGAAGTTTTTATTCACACAGATGTGGACAGTGGGCAAGAGTTTAAAATACATCTCCTTTGTCATTATAGGTTCCATCCTTTCTATTCCTTATTTACCATCCTCTTAATGTTTCTAGGTATAATAAATAATGGCATTTAATCATACAGGGACTCTTAACTGTGCCCTGTCTTTAAAAATTGTGTACACAGTACACTTCAGGGACAGATTTCTATATGACATTTAAAGTTCACCTTGATTTCTCAGGAAGCTTTCTTTGTTAACTAAAGTTAATTTATTTGATTTTTATTACATTACATTTTAAATGAAAAGTCAAAGCATTCTCTGGAAAACAGAGTCCTTTAACCAATCCATTTATTAATTTCTGTTCCATTGCTTGGCCATGTAAAGTTTTTACAGGGATTTTCAGCAGGGCCACAGATACATGTTCAGTAGTACAGAGATTTTACAGAGCTATGCTACAAGGAAGATGGATGTCAAGGGCACTGCTCACTCTCTCCAGTTGCCCCCAGTGCAAAATATGATTTTGCAGAGTCTAGCCCATTTTTGTTTATTGCTTGGTGAATTTCAAATTTGAGTGCTCAGGAAAAAGCCCCACATTCACTTGACAATGAAGTGGAGCATCTGTAATGCTCGCTGAAATATGTTCAGGCTGTCATCATAACTCAGTGGTTTCTGTCCTCTTGAAATAAATTATTGTTCAAAGTATTTAAAAGTGAGTTGCAATCAGCTAACAAGACTTCCACTTCTTTGAATATTTTGAGTGTGGGAGTCCCCAAGGAGGCAACAAAAAGATCAGTGAATATTTCTGATGCAGAAACAACTGTGCAAGGGTATCTTATATGTAAAGAACTGAAATATGAAAACACTTAATGTAGAAACAATCTGTCTGTAAAAAAACTTGAACTGAAAGGTATGTCATATAACAAAGATAGATGTTGAAGTCAGACAACCAGCTTTGTTAAGCTTTTTTCCAGAGCAGATTGTGAGAGGGAAAAGTGGCTTAGAAGCACAAGTCATGAATATTGAACCAAGAATAATTTTTTTAAACCCACCTAAAGTGAATACCTGCCTACCAGTACTATCAGTGGCAATGCATGGGTGTCTGAGTTTATGTAGAAATAGGTTTGAGATGAGCAGATTAACAGCCATTGATCAAAACTCACAGCTTTGCAAGATTCTGGTGTACCTGCACAGACCAGAATAAATTAGCTGAAGTACTCAAAAAAGTGTTTTAAGATCAGCACTACAGAGTGCTGAATTCTTCTGGTACCATCTATCTTCCCCCTGTCAGATGCAGTGATTGCATATGTGGGGTTACCACAGCTGCCCTGGGAAAGCAAATGAGCTGGCCAAGGCAGGGGCTGTCCCTGTGCTGGAGCAGCACTGAATGTTCTGTCAATCCTGAACAAACACTAACAACAGCATTGACAGAGTGCCCTAAATGCATGTGTCCATTACAGGACAGAGAAAAATACCCTTCCCACTCAGGCTCTGTAATTGAAATAAGACAAGACAAAGTCAAGCCAGGACATCAAATAACAGCTTAGGAGGGCGAGGACTTGTTCGTCACAGCGCTGCTCCACTCAGTATCAGCCTGTCCCCTGATGCCAGCGCAGTTAAACCCCAAAGTGACTCCAGCCTTGCTAACTGGGAGCTGTTAAAATAGAAGAAAGTGTTTGGTGAGGCTGAGAGGAAGATTTCAGACCCCTGAGACAGAGAGAAGGGCTGCTGGAAGTTATGTTTTCTGTACACAGAGAGAAGAGGGTGCACTCCGAGGAGAATGTTACCACAAAAATGAGGTTGGATGTGAATTTGCAGCATGTCAAGTGGTGTCTTCTCCTAAGTATATGTTTAGTCTGAGCTGAAAATACTCTGCTTCCAAATACCCCTCTTTCAGTGAATAAATTAGCGTTTCACACTTACCACGGAGAAAGAACATGCCCCGGGCACTTACAGGGAATAACCAAGGGGCATTATATTTACTCTCTAGTTTGCCTCCTACTATCTTTTCCATGACATTAGTGCTGGAAAGGTCTTTTGGGAAAGAAAAATAACAAGAAAACAAGGACACATGTAACACCATCACGAGTAAGCAAAGTATTTCTCTCCTTCTCACTCTCTCTATGTGAAAACTTTCATCCCAAAATATTTCAGAATCCTCCCTCCACATCCCACTGCTAACATTCAAGGATGTCATACCCAGAAAACAGCATCTGAATTCCCTGCATTGTATAAGACAGGCAGAGAAGGGGGAAGAAGATTAGAGAGAACAAGAGGAGTAGGAGTGAGTACAAAACGTGTTATGGCAGCAAAGACACAGCGAGGGGGTTAGGAGCTTATTATGAAAACTATTGAAGTTACAGCTGTTGAAAAACAACATTACAGTGGTTAGGCTGACTAAATAAATATGCAAATGTTTATTAGGATAAGATATATAAATATGTATAAATATGCATATACATAGATATATAGATATAGATGATATAGATGATATAGATATAGATATATGATTGAGAAAGGCCAACAAAGTACCTGACTGAGATGGTACAGTCTGAGTGATAGTAGAAAGAGATTTCAACATTTATCAGGGGGAAAAAAGATTGCTTCTCCCTCATTATTATTATTATTAGGACTGCACAGCAGCCTTATGGAAGGGGGTATGTTCTTCCAGAACTGGGAACCCTAACCCTAACCCTGAATGTATTGTTAGGACCCAAATCCTTGGCAGGATAGAGACACCCACTTATTCCTTTGCCTTCTAGAGCACTCCCAGCCATGGGTGCTGTTAAACCCTGGGGAGTACAATCCCCCACAGCTGTAATTGATGTGTTTGTGCTATTTATCTGCCGAGCTGTCTGCTGTGATTAACTGCCTGCAGGCACGTGTGGAGGGCTCCAAATGTTGCGTTATTACATGGCTGTCATATTTCATGCAGATGGATCTGCCTGACGAGGAGCCGGATCGATTAAGTAACAGAACGTTTCGCTACGACCCGGGCCAAGACAAATGGGTGGAGAGGGCTCCAATGAAGTTCTCCAAGTACCGCTTCAGCACCGCCGTAGTCAATGGGGAGATTTATGTCTTGGGTAAGAGGAAACAGATTTTTAACAGAATAGCACCACGGCTTTTTCTTCTTTCCAGCAATTTGCCTTTGTGAAGTGAAATATCTCACCCTTTGTTACGTACTGTAGGGCAAAGTACCTCGTAACAAATGGAGAGTATTTTTCTGAAGTTGTCTGTTCCCCACGTTATTTCTTCCTTCTGTAATTTACGTGGATTAAATTATGTGAATGTGTAGTGTTCTGGATTCATGCAACAAAGATACTTTTCTCTGGGTGTGAGTGTGTGTTATAAATAATAATGAATTTTAAAAGGTGAGTAGAGAAGGCTTGAAGCACCATTTCACAGCTGAGCAGTGAAATGCTAAGGAATATATGCAGTATAGTGAAGGAAAGGCATAAGGATAAAGAAAATTTTGATTTCCCAAAATCAACATCATGAGTGTCTCCTGACAAAACTCAGTGAATACTTCTCTTCCACCTACCTCAACACAGTACTTTTTTTTTTTAATCTAAGTATTTCCTTTTGTCAATTTTCTGATGGAATCCTTTCAGGTTTTTTCTGTTTCAAAACATTACTTTGACCAAAAGTTTCACAATTTGTGCTAATGAGTTCAATAATCTCCTACCTACCCCAAAACCTTATTGTAGATAGATATATGACTGGAAAGTTCTTGGAGAAACAGGGGAAAAAGTTTATTCAGTCAATCTACAGGTGGGCTGTGAGTGATTCATGCCCTTCCATGCTCCCATGGTCTCATGGGCAGCTTTAGGTATGAAGAAAGCAGCAATTCTATCAGCACCTCAGGACATTTCAATCCCCTCTGCTTCAAACTACTCCTGCTTACAAGCTCATCAAAGTGAATACAAAAATACAATCTTATCAGCTTAATACACCTCCTGTATCAGGGTGTTCTGGCTCTGTCTGGGTTGTTCCACACCAGGGATAAAGCAGTTTGTTCCTGGCTCATAATACAGAAAGGGAGGTATGCAGGAAAGGTGTCTTTGAAACAGAAGAGGAAAATGGCTTTAATGCTGCATTTGTCTTCTTTTAGAGAAACTTCTTTCTCTTAAGTGGTTTGAGAGAGGCCCATAGGCACAACCAGCAGGAAGGGTGAAAGAAGGTCATATGGAAAAGTGAGTTTTGTAAACAGAAAGTTGGGTCATTTTTGTCAGAGGTGGGTGATAGAGAATGTCAGTGTGCTGTTAAATAATGAGAGTGTTGGCTGCCCAGGTTCAAAGGTGCTTTGAAGACATGGGGACTTGGTGCTTTGCAAAAGGTTAAATACATATAATTATTTATACTGACACTGATGCTCTAATGGGGCAGCAGAAGCAGCTGGAATAGCTGGGAGAGAACAGCAGCATTCATGTGTCTCAGCAAGGAGTGCTCCCAGATCAAGACCTCGAAGGCTGTGATGACACAGGGAGTCAGGGAGCAAAAAAAGCAGCTGCCTTGGGATGCATGTGATAAAACAAATTGACAGTCTTCTTCCCAGCAAACCTGACGCTGGCACAAGGAAAAGGAGTGGCTAATGGGGAAACCTGCATCCATTTTCTTCCCTCAAAATCTCACAAAGCAAGAAGCATATGTGAATGATTACAATAATGAAATTTATAAATTGAACACAAAACACAGCCTTAAATCCAAAAAAATACCTGTTTAAATGGCATTGAGTAAAGTTCATGGTCTCATGGACCTCCAAAAGCATTTTGCTAATTAAAAAAATAAAAAGCCTTGGTTTTGTACATGTAGCAGCCAGTGCTGCAGTATTCAGGAAGGTGAACACTAGCTTGAATTCTTTCTTACCTGCTGGCCAATACCAATAATTCTCTGTGTGTGGAAGAGAAAAGCTTTCCTACAATCTGATCTGCACACGGGTGGTGGCAGGGTTTTGCCCTGTCTCCATCATTTTGCTGGTTCACACACCTTCCCATGGCAGTCTTTATTTGAGCCTATTCCAAGGGGAACCAATGCACTTAATGCTTAGGTTAACAGTCTGCTGCATTGGACCCTTCACTCTTGCCTCTAAGTCTAACTAAACATTCATAAAAGCAGTGTTTGATCTCAGTTTTAACAGTGTAAATCTGGGGTAGTTTCACTGTAATGGACAAACTTGCTCATGATTTATACCAAGGGTAACTAAGCTGACACGCTGCTCCAAGCAGCAGGTTTTTGAGAAAGATTGGGCTATTTTTACCATTACATTTCTGAGCCTGCCTCCCTTCTGATGCTCTGCCCACTCAAGGTGTAACTGCAGCAAGTGCAGACACAGATCAGTTACCATCAGGTAGCAGGAATATCAGTTGCAGAGAAGACATTTTGACCTAGGTCTGGGCTGCTTTCACAAGCTCCTCATTGCCAGTTTTCACAAGCCTTGTAAGACCTTTAACGTTCATCAATCTGCAAAATTTAGTTGAAACTGGCCAACAGCACAAAAGCTATGTAAAATAGAGAAAATAAAATAAATGCAGATAGAGACCACACATATAATTGTATAAGTCTTGTTTTCTTGGGAAGTCAAGTAATATTACAACTAATTTTTTAATTCAAAGATAAGTCTGAGCAAAAAGTTATTGGTCAACAAATTCTGCCTTTGAATATGCTGGTTTAAATCCACCTGCAAGAGTACGGGTGGAAATGGAGATTTATCTGTTAAAATTAAGACAATGTGGTTGCTAAATGTTACTCATCACAGTCTGAAAACTCTGTGGAGAGATTAAAGCATTTTCCAAGACCTCTCAAAGTGATGAAGCAATTTCCACGTGAACTCTGGCTGGAAACAGTGATACAGACATGATACTGGAATCTTACTGTGGAGACATCACATGTGGCCTCATCTCCAGCTGTAAACTCACACTCACCAAGTGTAATTAAACCTCACAGAGAAAAGCTTTATTCTATGTTTGTCTGTGGTGACAGGTTCATGTTACCTTGTGAGTTCTCAGGCTGCTGGGCTGTGAGGTGGGTCCAGATCCCCTTTGGACAGACACAATTGCAATGGTAACTCCAGCTGGGGGAACAGGCACTTCATGGCATTGAGAGGAAGTGAAAGTGCTCCTAATCTGGCACTTGATCATGGAGATGATGTTCAGGAGATAATGGGAATGGAAAGAATAGAGGTTGATAGTGACAGAGCAAAGAATAGCAACTGTCATGAGGGTGGTAAAACCACTGCAGGGTCCCCAGAGCTGTGGATCCCTTGGACATCACCCTGCTTCATAAGGAGTGTCAGGCACTCTGGGAGTCTAGAAAGGTGCTGCCAAGGGTGATTTCTTTCAAAAGACACATTCTGAGGAGGATCATTGTAGGCACACAGTTTGTGGTGACTGGAGTGGGGCTGGCCCAGCCCCATCCCCAGTGGGCACAGCTGTGAGCAGCACTGACAGCAATGAGCCATGGAGTGCCCAGGGGCACTGCCCAACCTCCAAAGGGAGCAGAGGGCACACAGGGGCAATGCATCAACGTGAGGGGATAAAAGGTTGGCTGAAGAAAAAGACCAAGCAAATGCTTGCAGCCTTCTGAAGTGCTGTGATGTTACTCTGCATGGGAAGATGCCTGGAGCTTTCTGATGAGGCATGGTGTTACTCTGCA